GCATGTAAGATATGCTGCTGCTGCATGAATAGGCATTCATAAATCCTGTAGACAGGTGGAGCTGGGGGAGGTGGAGGGTTAATTAGCTGCAAAACAGCTTGTGCTGTGAAAATCAGTGATCGCTAGCAGATTGCATGTAAAGAACCAATCAGTCTGTTCCATATAGAGTTTCACAACTGAACCTAGATATATGTTTCTCTGTGTTATCCATGTTATTTTTAACATAAGAGCAGGTGCAGCCATTAAATGTGTGAAGCTTCCGCTGTCATTCGCTTCCAGTTATTTTAGCTTTACAAAACAGCTCATTATGCTACTTGATATTGCAAACTGGTATTTCTTATCATATTATATTATTGTATTGTTGTAAAATAAACTGGACTGTAGTGCAAATAGTTTTAGTAGTAGTAAATAGTAAGGTAGCTTACAAGTGTGTTGAAAAATAAGGAAAATGATGCTGTAGTGATTTGTAAACCATGTTTATTAGAGAAAATATAGCATATGTTCACCTGTTAACTATTCAAACTTGTGTTCATTCCTATTGGCATTCATGTCAGAGGGTGAATGTGGACAAAGCAACTCTTGACGACAAGGAGAAGCTCTCAGTCTTATGCTCTTTCCTGAGCATTGTCAGTTCGTTCCCCATCCGGTGGCTATACACTTCAGCGAATGTGGGTCACGAGGCACACAATCTTCTCTTGATTGACAATGAGTAAATACAGCATTGAGGAGAGGTTTTAATGATCATCTGAGATCTCAGACCCACCACAATGTGCTATTCATCTCTAATGAGGAGTAAGTGTGTCACAGCGCATTGGCTTGTTGTCTTTGGCCCTCCATGGAGATAAATTTAGCATCCTGTGTTATGGGTTCAAAACAGCATAACCCACTGAAATCCAAGTCTCGCCTTGCATAACAGAAGCCTTTCCGTAATTCATGCCACCGACCCGAATCGCTCCCTCTCGTTTTCCAGGTTCCCATTGTGTCCTGACCCATCGCTGACCCACCTCCCACACTGAGAGTGTGTCCATCCCAGAGCTTTCCAAAAGCAGATGACATCAACCCCTCTCCTGATCGACAGTGCAAGCAAGGTAAAGGGTCACATGGCAGCATCACTGAGTCTATTGTGCTGCAGTGGGAAAGCCACACGGACTGTAATGAGCTGGAGGGCTTGGCTGTAATCTGCCAACACTGCTGCAATATAAATCACAACATAAAAAACACTCTATAATAGCACATTGTTCAAAGCCAGTAAAAGCTGGGGTCCAAGGCACTATTTTCACACGTTTGGAATGAAAGTGCATTTTGGCGCATTGTGCTCAGCTTGTAAAAAACGCTCTTTTCATGAGTCAGGTGAGTTGAGCAAGCTTTCATGTTGCAACAGTATTGCGAGTCGGAGTGCTTTATGACCTGCTGATACTCGCATATCTTTTTTTCTCCACCATCACGGTTCCTGGAAGAAGCTCGGAGATTCCTGGTCTCCTTCTCTGCTTCCAAGTCACCAAGCTTCCTGGGCCCTCTCCATTTCACCCGGGATCACACTGAGCCCCCTGGAATGTGGGATTAATGGGACATCCGAGACGCTTCCAGCCCGGCACACCACAGTCCTCTTATCAATAACACCTGATCATCGTGATGTTAGGGGCACATTAGCAGGTAGATCAGAGAAATTGCTGATTAAAAATTCACCACCTAGTCAGAAGATGCAGCCTTTCATTTCATAGAAGGATTCGAAGCAACACTAGTCCAAAATGATGATGGACTGATGGGGATTAGCAAGCTAAGCAAAACAGAAATTGATGCATTTCAATATGATAGCTCACATTTTAACAGACCGTCACTGCCAAGAGGGAATTAATAAGCACTCTTGTTGACAGCTTCATGCAATCTGTGAGCAAAGCTGGTATTTTCCAGCAACACAGTGACTGAACGCAAGACATAAATTACAGCATGATTAAAGACCCTCCTGAGAGATGTTTATGTATTTTATGCATGGTTTTGGTCTGCTTCATCCCCGTTTATGCGGATGTGATTACCTTTAATTATTGAGAGGCATCTGATAATGCCAGATAACTGCACCTCTTCTTTTAAATTATGATGTAGACGTCACGTTGAAAGTGCATTAAAATAAATATAGGCTATCTTTTCGTTCAGTAATAGCACATTTCGGGCTGCCGCGGTGCGCTCTGCGGTTCGCTCTCTCTCTCTCTCTCTCTCTCTCTCTCTCTCTCTCTCTCTCTCTCTCTCTCTCTCTGAGACACGCTTTTAGGCATCTCAGAAGTACAAAATATACGGGTAAACCATCAGTACCCTTTTCGGCGCTCCAGTCGTCTGTGGTGACACACGTCATTACGAGGTTGCGGTCTGTGAACGCATGCTGATTGGTGGATACCGAGGGTGTGTGCACATCATGAACTGGCTTTCTTACAGACTCTGACTTACAGACTCACTGCACAAACTAAACCACCGCACCAAAAAGGTAAAGCAACACACAGAGTCTCGCCAGAATGCCATATAGCAGAGTATGGGCACGTTATGCATCCCTTGAAGCCACAGAAGCATTCATTCTTTCATTTCCTGGAAAGCAAAGCTTAGAGAACTAAAATACCAGATTTTAATTTATAGGCTTTCTGTTGTGAATAATCTTGCCAATAACATTTGAAGTGCTTAATAGCCTATAAAAAAAGCTTTGACAGTCTAACCATGTGTTATTCTCCTCTCAGCACAAGAGTGTGTTGTCCAAATATTTGTCTGCAGCTTCAGCACTGTTCATCTATTTTTTCGCCTACGGGTGGCCGCACATTAAATTCTCAAAGGGTGTCCCTTATTTTGCCTTGCTGAAGGTGGCAACCCTAACTAGACTCTGTCCTGATAGTAGTAATTGCTGCACCTAATTTAGCAACTATTCCAGTTGTTGGTATAAAATTTTTAATCACAATAGTAAGTAATTTATTTGAAATATTAAGTAAACATTCTCACTAGTAATTACATATAACAAGCAAAATGCAAGTATAAGTAGTGAGATAAGAAATGTTGGTTACATTTTATTTTAAAGTGTCCATGTTACAGTGTAGTTATACATTTATGTACTGAGTAATATTAATTAACTACATGCACTTACTATATGGTTAGAGTTAGGATTAGGGTTACTTGCATGTAATTATGCATATTTTATTGTTTTTACTAGTGTAACAAGGACACCTTAAAATAAAATGTTAACGAAATGCTACTGGTAACATGTTATATTGTCATAAAAACATAAATTTGCTTGCCTATTATGGAGATAGTAACTAGAAAACTATAAACTAAATACTGTTAGTATACTATTAGTCTAACTATTAGTACTATTAGTATACTATTATAACTATTAGTACTATTAGTATACTATTAGTATAAATAGCCAATAAATGACAATTAAAACAACACATTATTACACAACATATAGGGTAAAATATAGACAATAAACCTGTATAAAATATAGAACAAAGTAAATTTATACAAAATAAGACCAGACATCCTAAAATGGCAGAGGAACCACTGATGTATCTAATAAACAGTTCATTGTGAAACTGAAATACATATTAGTCACTACTGGATTAAGTACAACTAATAATCATAAAAAAAGATTAATAAAATAAAATTAGATTCTAGGAGTGATAACATGGCTTGCCATACTGACAGTTTCTTGGTAGTACCACATCCATGAGAATGGCCTGCAACCCATTTGAGGCATATCTCTCATTTGCAATAGATTTGCATGGCTTGAATTGGATCCCATCAGAGTACTGTCATAAACCATAGTCACCAAAGAGTAAATCAAAATAGATGTGTTCTGTGTAATTCTCAAAATTTCATAATTGGGTGATTACTAGTGAACCGCAGTTATGGGATTGATTTGCTACATGGACTTCATCTAAGAATTCATTGCAAGAAATATAAAATGAGGCTTAATTACATCAAAGCTCTGATTCAGCGGCGTGCCTATATATGCTGTGCATGTGTGTGTCAGAGTCAGATGTGCACACATGTCTATATGCCTTTTGTGTTGCTTTGTCTATGTATGGCAGCTGCCTAGATGGGGTGGTTTGAATGATGCAATCCCTGCCATCCATTAGCAAATTTGTCCCGTTTTCTGCACCGCATGGAGCACATTTTGACAGCGGGACTATATAATTAGCTGTGTCGACTGGTGAGTTTTCAAAAGCTGCAAAGTAAAAACTCACATAATCATTATGTTCCTTTTTTTTCATGTTCATCTGCTGGGTCACCAATATACCAGCAGCAAGCAGAACAGAATGTGCCATTCCCTGTCAGTGCCGTATTTATTTATTTAGAAGGGTTTTGGAAATCCTCAAATCCTTTCTACCTCTTCTTCATACTTATTAAGATCATGGAGCATACACTGTGTATATTATGTAAATTGTGGACACTGTTTTAATAGATTCTGTATATAGTATTTATATCTATCCAATTGATTTATAAAGAATTGGTTATTTAGTTGCACTCTATTTAATGCTTCTATTATATATACAGCATGTGAATATAACATGTTAGGCTTAAATTTTCAAATATATATTTTGTGTAATTGAAACAGCTATAGTCACAGCAGTGGTCAGTGCAATTTGTTTTTATTTCTTTCATGAAAAATATTTCCTATTACAGATATGGAGTTCTTTGTGACTAGATATCTAGAATTCATGCATTGTAAATGCAACATTTCATAAACGCTTCCTTTTAAATTTGAGTCATATCCGCTCCTGTATAAATCCATCAGTTACAGTATTAACAGCAATAATCACAGGCTCGCGTGCTCTTGTCCTTACAGCTGTCTGATGCCTAGTAAGCGTTTGTAGAGTAAATACGCACCCACCCTTGCACATTTTACAAGCTTAGTTAATGTCAAGTAGAGACAACTTTCGCCAGACACACCCCTAAAACTTGGACGTGGTGGTCTGCGTTTCTGATTGGTCGGGAAGCGCGACTGACAACACCTGCTTGACTCCCTCATCCAAATTGACACCCGGACTCTGGGAAATATATCCAGCATCCATCCCGTCTCCACTCTCACACACACGCTCCCTGTGTCATCTCGACAGTCTCCACATCAGATCCCGCGCTGACAGCCTGTTGTTATTTATCGCGCAAACTGAGTGGAGAAATGTTGATCAAATGCGCACTAGCCTTGCTGCTTGTCTCCGTTTTGGGTGAATTGGTGGGAACGGATAACGCTGACGTTCACGAGAGTCACCCTGAGAAACCGGCCAGTCAGAAGGGACGTCTCTCCTTACAGAACACAGGTAAGAGAAAGCAAGTGTTGCGAAGCTGCGATCGATCGCGCTCCAGACTGAGTCTTGTGCGGTCAGAACGCGATTTCAGCGCAAAACCGACCAATGCACATCTCATTTTCCGAATACGCAGGAAGACGATAACTCGTAAATACGAAGCACACGCAGAGAAATCCAATATCTTCGTAAACTATTAATAGCGTGGCACAAGGTAGGCAGAGATATACGGTGACATTGCTGTCAGGTTCGCGCGTGCGTCTTCTTTTCGTGGATTCGTGTTTACGTACGACATCCACGGCTGGTATTTTATTATGAACTGCCATGCAAAGTGCTCATTATAAAGAGTATCAAATACGCAACTTTTGTTGCATTGTGCGGGCGAGCAAGTTAAACCTGTAGTGTGTAGTGATGCAATGGCTCTACGTGTTGCACTAGGTGGATCAAACTTTGCATTATGACTTTCATTGCATTATGACAATGAAATACAGCAGCTTTGTCAGGCATCAAATCTTTTCAACTTTTGCACGGGACTGGCCCAGACTAGGTTATTACAGCAGAAGAGCTCAGTGCTGTGTGATTCCACGCACGATCCACACGTCCACAAACGCGGACGGCTCACTTTACCTGTGCACCTCCATCAGCAGAGATCCACTGCAATGCATTTACACTGATATTGGGTAGTATTCATATACAAGACCTTAAAAACCTGTTTTCTGTGACGCTGAAATGCTTTAGGAAAACTCGAAAAGCTTTTGGAATACCTAAATCAGAACATTCAGGTATAATAGAAATAGCCTACTATTTCATTTAGAACATTTCAAAAATTCTAATCTTGGAATCTTTCTGTTAAAATAATAATCACACATCTTTGTCACAAACGTTAACAAAAAAGGAGATATTCAGAGAATGATCTCCACTCTGATTATCTCCTTTTGGTGAAGACAGGCATTGTTGTGCTCATGTGTTTAACAGTTAGATTGTCTATTTCTAACGTGACATTATATGAGCCAATCAGTCTGTATTTTTATTTAATCTCTTTGCAAAAGCATGAGGATTGAAGTAGCCATTGCGAGGTCCCTAGAAATAACATAAAAAAAAAATAAGTGCAGGCAGTTTGTAATGTGATAGCTGCAGAGCTTTTTACTTTTCATGAACTGATTTATGCTTTATACTTTGGCTTTTTTACTGACACAATGGGGTTTAAATTTCACAGTCACTTTTATTAACGGTTTGCCTTGCATTAGAACAAATACCATGACATATTTAGTCATTTTTGTCTTATTACTGCACAGGATTTGTTCATTTTAAAATAAAAGTCCTTAAATGGCCAGTTTACATAATGTTTATGTTTACCCTCTAGTTGCAGTTGTAAAACTTAAATATTTAATGCAGTTCATGCAGCCTTTCTCTTACTACTCTTCTTTAGTAGGACACGACTAACAGACTCATCACAAACTATTTCATGAATACTGCTGCCAATGTGGCCATGAAAAATACAAACGAATGTCTATCTTTGTGAGTTGATCTAATGTATCAAACATTCATCAGTGCTTTTGCAATCTCTAAATAAGCAAATAAAGTGCTCCTTTGTGTATCAGACTTGCTTTTTCAAGTCGAAAAGATTCACATTCTTGTTATATTTCCCTGGTTCATTTTCTGAATCTCAGTAGTCATTGCTGATCTCTTCAGCAAGATAAAAGCAATCTCGTCCTGCCCTATATACAGTTAACCTTGCTTTTCCACATCTCAGGCGGTTACTGCAAGATGCCTCCCAGTTTGATGGACTTTAATAGCATACCTTAATTACCACAGCGCGCTCTCAGCTAAATTTGTCCCCTAAATACAGTTCTTCAATTTTCACAGAAGAAACAAAGCCGGAAAATAGGCTTCTGCATTCATGTGTAAAAGGTTGTGCAAAGTATATTTCTAAAGCAATTTTATTTCTTATTTAAACATAGACCTGTTGTAGAGATCACTTTAGATCGGCCAAAATCGAGTGATGCAAACTCTTTATTTAGCTTTAAACAGCATGCTCTGTCTTTCTATCCTCCGCAGCTGAGATCCAGCACTGTCTCGTGAGCGCAGGAGACGTGGGCTGTGGCGTCTTCGAGTGTTTCGAGAACAACTCCTGCGAAATCCGGGGCCTTCAGGAAATCTGCATGACCTTCCTGCACAATGCTGGCAAGTTCGACTCGCAGGTAAGCACATGGTTGCCCCAGTCTCCCACGGGGTTCATGTCCCTCAGATGCGTCCAGAGGATGACCCAGCGACTGGCACCGCCTCCAGCCTGGCTCGTGTTTCACAAGGTGCAGGTGGATTTGAAGCAGAGGGTTTCAAGCTTATAACGCGGTCTCAAGATGTGTGTCTAGCAAAAACAGTCATACTATTAGTCCATGTTATCCCAGCAGAGAAAGAAAGGCTGTTTATGACTGCGGATCTGATAAGACTCTGTTTTAAACACTCACAGGGCAAGTCCTTCATCAAGGATGCACTGAAGTGCATGGCTCACGGCTTAAGGCACAAGTTTAGCTGCATCAGCCGAAAATGCCTGGCCATAAAGGAGATGGTCTTCCAGCTGCAGCGGGAGTGCTACATGAAACACAACCTCTGCTCAGCTGCTAAAGACAACGTCAATGTCATGGTGGAGATGATACATTTCCAAGACTTATTTCCCAAAGGGTAGGTATCACACTCGGCGTTATCAGCTTTCCATGCTCCTGTTTGCAGGTACGTATGGTGTCCTGTTCTTGTGCTTCGGTATTGTTTGTGGTTTTGCGAATAGGCCTGTTTCGATCATTAATTTTGTGCTGACGATTGTCATACAAATAATGGAGATTAACGATTTTATTCTGGGTTTTTTTTTCATGTTGCTTATAATGTAAGCCTAATAAATACGTTTTTAATATATATTTTTTTATATATATATTTATAATTGTATCAGTCCATATGATTTATATTTCTGCCTTGGAAATGAATATTTATGTAATTAATAATATAATGCATTCTGTTCAAACCCACAAGCCTTCATTTAATTCAAAAGAAGACCTTTGAACACTATATTTGTGTACTTTAAAAGTGTTTTTATCATTTATTTAATACTAATGACACAATATTGTGCATTTGATGGCATTTCTTAAGCGCTTAAAGAGACAGTCCACCAAAAAAAATGAAAAATCCATGTTGTTCCAAGCCTTTATGATTTACTTTCTTCTGTGGAAAACAAAAGAAGATATTTCGAAGAATGGTGATCATAAAAACAGTTTCAATTCCCATTGAGTCAACCGAAACTGTTTGAAAATATCTCTTTAAATTTCCCTTATTTGGAGGGCAAAATTGCACAATTATATCATATAATTGTGGTTGGATCAAATAACCATGATCAGACTAATCAGTAATCACATCAAGCCTATTTTCAAGCTTGTTTGTTTACTATGTAAATGCAATTTGATGACATAATGATTATTCTTTCAAACCAAATTAATAAAGTGCGTTATTTCCCGTTAGCTGCATGTTTCCAGGAAATTGATGTACTTTTCCATTTTAAAACGCATCTGGAGCTACGTAAAGTTAATTTAAGTAAGTTAATTAATTTAATCACACTCAGTGTTGAGCAGCTGCATTTCATGAAAGGTCCACACAGTCACTGTACAGTGACATAAACTGCCATTGCAGTGTCTTTTCCAGCACTGGCCTATAATGAACATATGAGGACAACAGGGAGCAGAGTCGGTCATTTTGAAGTAGAGCAGCAGTGCTGGCAAGCTTTCGCCCGCTTGACTTTAACCGCGACTGACCCAGGCCCAGCTCCAGAATCAAATCACTGAGGGTGCTACTTAAATTAGGGTGCTCCAACCAATTGAAGGGGGTCTGAATACTTTCCGTACCCACTGTATATATCCTACCTAACATTAACGTTTTTAAAAATACTTTTACATTGCAATTATTTCACATTCAATCTTCAAATTAATGTAGAAACAACATAATGACAGTATATTTTTAATATTTGTATAATGGCATGTTTTTTTATGACTGAAGGCCAGTATCACTGATACCAATACTACTGATGTCTGTAGGAAATTGTTTTTTCCCCTAATATTTAACCATTGACTACAGCCATTCAACATCACAAGAGCTATCAATTTTAACATTTATTAGACTACTTAAAATAACTTCTAATTTAAGGGAACTTAAAACAATCTTCACATAAACCCATTATAATAAATGTCATTTTTTACCTGTGCCCTTCAGCAAGTAGGAAATACACAGAAATTGAATAAAGTTATCAAACACTAAATTATAAATTAAATAGATGAATCCTTAAAGCTACAAAAGTTATTGATTTCCTTTTTTCTTTTGATCTTTGATTAATAGACATCACAGCAGCTGGTTATTAGGTTTTTCGGCTACTATTTCTTTAAGAGCTTCCGCTGCTGAATGTGAGGCTCATCTGATCTGACGCATCTCTCTTTACCTATTCTGACCCACTTCAGGTCTTAAAGTCTCTACTATTTGAATTGAGTTAAACTGAAAAAAAAAAAAACGAATCACCTGCATTAACGCGCTAATATTGACAGCACTAAAATATATATACTGTATCTGTATATATATATATATATATATATATATATATTAGTGCTGTCAAACGATTAATCACGATTTATCGCATCCAAAATAAAAGTTTTTGTTTACTCAATATATGTGTGTGTACTGTGTATATTATTATGTATATATAAAGACACACACATACAGTATATATTTTGAAAATATTTACATGTATATTTTATATTCATATACTTTAAATTATATATAAATATATTTAATATATCAACATAACATATTTTTCTTAAATATATACATGCATGTTTTTGTATTTATATATACATAATAAATATACACAGTACACACACATATATTATGTGAACAAAAACTTTTATTTTGGATGCGATTAATCGCGATTAATCATTTGACAGTACTAATATCTATATATATATTAGAGGCGTTCGTTGCTATGGTGCAAAGAGCACTCCGTTTATAATCACTAAAAAGCTGTCACTCATCTTAGTTCATCGCGATCTCACAAAGACACGTTTTAATCAATGTTCTCTACGCTGCACAATGAATCTCTTATTTACATCGCGTCTACATTTTTTTTATAATGAGATGATTCGTGCTGAACACAATACCTGAACAAAAACTCCGGTGATTTGAGCGGTGAGTGGATTCTACTGTAACTTAACGCCTCTGATTCAAGAAATCAACAGATATGTCTGTGATTGGCTACATTGCTCAACGTTGCAAACAGAAATCAATCTCCAGAGTGCAAACCGTAACGCACTGGATAGTTAGCCAAATCTGCAATGAAATGCCATTAATGCAGCTTTAACTGAGGGTGCTATTGATTTCGTTTGAGGGTGCTTAGCACCCTCTAGCACCCCCGTAGAACCGGGCCTGGACTGACCGCTATCATCCCGCTTTCTTAGGCCGTACGTCGAGCTGGTGAACATCTTGCTTAGCTGTGGAGAGGAGGTGAAGGAAGCCATTACGCGGAGCGTGCGTCTGCAGTGCGAGCAGAACTGGGGCGCTCTGTGCGACAGCCTGAGCATCTGTACATCCATCACCGCCGCTCCAGCATCAGGCGGCCTCGAGCGACGCCCGCCGCTTTCCTCCCAGTCAGACGCCGAGCACCACAAGAGCGCTCGAACAGGAGACAAGGACAAACCCGGCAAGGTCGGCTTCAGTTCCCACACGAGAAGTCGGAGCCAAGGCCCACGGCGCGCCAGTTTAGAGACCGGCCCCGCCGAGCAGGAACACTCAAAGATCAGCGATATTCGGAGGTGAAATAGCAGGATCACCTAAACTGACCATGACACCCCAATCCCCCACTTCACAGACTCAGCAGACCTCTTAATTCAACCCATCCATCCTCACGTCTCCAGTCATTCCAGTACATTTTGCAGGGTAAATGTGGTGCAACTTTTTTGATACTCCAGATTATAGGACATTGTTAATTTTGTAGAATTGCTTTTATTTTAGTTCTAATACAGCATCTCTATTTTGCAAATCATATCAATCACCTTTTTTATTTATTTTATGCTTCATGCAACGTTTGAATATAAAACATGTACATATAAACCTATGTATATCTATATTTATATAAACACATCTAAATATAGCCTCCATATTCAGTAACGATATACTATATGTAATATAGTGCTTGCTGTTGTATTAGTTACATTATTGCACCAATTATGCATCTGACTGTAGATACGGTGGGTACGGAAAGTATTCAGACCCCCTTAAATTAAATGGACAGCACCTGAGTTAAATATATGAGTGTCACAGCAAAGGGTCTGAATACTTAGGACCATGTGATATTTCAGTTTTTCTTTTTTAATAAATCTGCAAAAATGTCAACGATTCTGTGTTTTTCTGTCAATATGGGGTGCTGTGTGTACATTAATGAGGGAAAAAAATTAACTTAAATGATTTTAGCAAATGGCTGCAATATAACAAAGAGTGAAAAATTGAAGGGGGTCTGAATACTTTCCGTACCCACTGTATGTAAGATATGTTTGCTTGTTTCAGAAATGTGTGTGTAATTGTTATTTGAAATGCTTGATTAAATATAAGCTGTACAGGATTGAAGTCCAGGTCTAGCACAAACAGTACGACACCCTGTGCTTCTTAGAAGGAAAGCGAAGTCAAAACAACGTCCAGTACCAAGCTTATTGTGCCTTGAGAATACTACATAGAGGCGTTACCCCAAAATGAACTGTGGAACCCGAGCAGATGTATGATAGTAAAAACTTCTAGCTGCCTCACGTCTCAGTATGATAAAGCGCCCTGATAGTATCGCTTCAGTCTAATGTGTATGCTGCATTTCTGGGCTTTGCCCAAACAGATTAGTTGAACATAGGAACAACTTTAGCACACAGTGTCTCATGGAAAGCAGGCCTGCCTGTGCTCTGGCCAAGTCCACAGTCAGCCGCTGGTGTTTCCAAGTAAAAAATAGCAGTTTTCTCCCAGAGCCACTGAGAAGAGCCAGAAGCTGGAATTGCAGTCGGCTGGCCTTAGACCCAGGAACTGGGTTAAGTCTACATAAGAAGCTCAGGGTATTACTGACAATAATATTGAAATGGGTGAATTATTGTTTACTATAGCTGCGAAAAGAATTGTTTTGGGTCCTTGCCACGTGATTGGTTAATAAAATGTTCGGAGCTGATTGTTGGTTTAAGAATAAGGAACGGCCTGTACAGTTCTGCTATTCATCAGCCTAAAGACAACAGTAGTTACTTTGACCAATCATCTTCTTAATTCACTCAGGTATTCCAAAGAGCATGTGGGCAAAAATGTGATCAACTTTGGGTTTAAACCTGGAAAACATTTTTAGATTGTTACAAGAAATGAAAAAAATCTGTGTACAACTATTACATTGAATAATAGATTCCATATCGGTACAGATAGCATGTGTTCCAATTGTTTTAGGAAAAATAAATACGAAAGCTAATTTCTTACTCAGATGTGTCTTTCTGGATTTTATTTTTTCACACACAGCATTTTAGCACAACAAAAGTGAGTATTTAGAAATGTATTTATAATATATTTATTATATAACATTTTATTTATTATATTATTATAACTTTTTTTATTGTGATCGTTGTTAATAATTTTTTGGCTTTGGCTTTAAATCAGCTAATTGTGGCTAAATATGTCCATACGTCTATATAGACTGTGTGTGTGTGTGTGTGTGTGCGCGCAAATTTTATTATAAATTATATGATAGTTGATATATTTAATATAATTTAATATATTAGAATTAAATATTCAGTATATTGTATATAAAACGTTTACACAAAAACACACACACATATTATTGTTCAATAAATAATAGTTTATATAAATAATAGTATTATTTAATAATAATATTTGGTATTGAGAAACGGCCTGGGCTGCCTTTCCCAAAAG